TACACTGTCTGTTGTTGCCCTTCACCCACATTTGTTATTAGTCCCGTGTGGGGGTAGTGGTGTTGTGTGTAATATATATATCCAACCTTGTGATGGGTTCCTCCTTTCTCTCCCTCCCCGCTACCCGGCCAATCCCTCATGATATTGCTACACCCACAGTTCCTAAGGGGTTTATCTGTCCTAATTCCCTGTGTTGAGAGCTTTTATCTGTACCAATGTGTGTTCTCTGATCTAGTCAGATTTGCACGGTAGAACTGGGTCATGGTAGTGGGGGTGAGGTGGGGGGAGCATTCAGTAACTTGGGAATGACTTGTGTTTTGTTGGTGCTATACTACACTTTGGTTGGGATTCATGAGTTCTCGGCTGACAAAGCGATGCTAGTGTGGAGGACAATGACCCCAGGCGGGAAAGGAATCTGTACCATGAAATAGCATCCTTTCATTTGCATGGTTGTGGTTTTCTTCAGAAACCTCTTTTCTTCTGTGAGTGTATCTTTCCCATAGTTTCTTGTTACAAACCTTCTGAATCTGAAATAAAAGCCAGGAAAATAAAATCTTTGGGGCTTAATAATAATCTATTTGTTCATTTTAAGTAAAAACTGGGCCACATACTTAGCAGAAAGAGGCAAAGCTTTTAAAAGAAATGTTAACTAAAAATACTTTGTCTTAACCATAAGGTAGTATAGTAATGTTTAGAAATAAAAACTTCCAAGGGATAAAAGCTACTAAGACCCATATGCAAAAGGAAAGGATACCGTCAATTGGGAGATGCAAATCAAAGTAACAATGAGATATTAACTTACATCCACACTAACATCCAATTCCAACACCCAGAAACAACAAATGCTGGCGAGGGTCCAGAGATATTGGAGCTCTCCGACACTGGAAGTGGGGCTGTAAACAGGAACCACCATCATGGAAAGTGATAGTGGCTACACCTCAACAACTAGGAAGAGAAGTCAGCAATCCTGCTAGGTACATACCCTTAAGAAATGAGAGTCAAAATAAACCGGGCATATGCATGCCACATGCTTGTTGCAGCACTAGTCACAAGAGCAAGAAGCTGGAAAGAGCCCAAATGCCCACCATAGAGGAATGGATAAAGCAGCTTTGGTACAGATGGACCTGGAGATCATAATGCTGAGAGAAGTTAGTTAATCACAAAAGAGTAAGTATTGTAGGAGATCTCTCCAAAAACCCAACTCATAAGGGCCCTACAGGACAAAGGAGAAGTGCCCCAATGAGACTCCAGAGACCATTCCTACAGGATAACAACTAAGACAAAGACTGGCATTTCAGACGGAACAGACTTTGTAGTTACCAAGGGAAAGAAGATGAAGCAACAAACTGGACCTTTGAAAGCTGAAGGGAGGGTGGAGGTCCACAGCAGGGAGAGACAAATCAGTAGTGGTGGAGTAGAACACGGGGAGGGAGGCTTGTTGAGTGACAGGAACTGCAGACTAAAGAGCTGATGGTGTGAAAGGTACACGCCCCACGCAACTCACTATTTAAAAAAATGATTAAATTAATTGATTAAAATGACTTCCATGCTCACTCTTACAATACTTAAAATTTATCAGTAAAAGAATCTCTCAGGAAGACAAGCTGAGTTCTGTACGTAGGGATCAGAAAAAGAACATTAATTCTTTCTCTCCACTTTTTCTGGTTTAAAGTACCATCTGAATCTGCTTTTAATTATAAAGTATCTGAAACATGAACAAAGAACATTTTACAGACACACACACACACACACACACACACACACACACCCTATAATTACTATTCTGTCTACACTTTCTCTAATTCCTAAAATCTTGACCGAACAAGATGGAATCTGGTCTCATTAGGAGTATTTTTCACTAACGTCAAAATTCACAGTCCTTGTACTGTTTTTTTAGATGGTTTGAAGGTGCTACAGCCCCCTGCTGGTCCCTAGAGCAACGGCGGAGCTAGTGATTTTCCTTCAGTCTTGGCTCAAAATTCAAAATAAATATTGTCATAATGACCCCCATCGGTGTAACAGATCTCATTTCTGCATATAAAAGGAGTAAGAATTATTTTTATTATTGAAAGTTTCATAAAATATTGCATTAAAATATCTTTTGAAAGAAAAATTTAGAAAGAAAATAAAGCATACATCTTTTTCAAATTCAATTTTTAATTACTTTGGAAATCAAACACATCATATACATATTTTTAAAAAAACATTTTGCTTCCTCCCTCCCAATATCATGATCCCAATTCTGCTTTTCAAATCTGGCTAGACCAGAGGATGTACATTGGTACAGATAGCAACTTGAAACACAGGGAATCCAGGACAGATGACTCCTTCAGGACCAGTGGTGAGAGGGGCGAGGCCTGGAGGGTGAAGGGAATGTGGGGTAGAAGGGAGGAACCAACTACAAGCCTCCTCCCTGGGGGATGGACAGCAGAGAAGAGGGCGGAAGGAGACGTCGGAAAGTGTAACTTATGACAAAACTAATAATTTATGAATTATGAAGGGTTCAGGAGGGAGGGGGAAAATGAGCAAATGATATTGAGGGCTAAAGTAGAGGGCACATGTTTTGAGATTGATGAGGGCAACAGGTATACATACGTGCTTGACTCAATGGATGTATGTATGGACTGTGATAAGAATTGTAAGAGTCCTCAATAAAATACTTTAAAAAAAAGAATGAGGTAACAAATGTACAAATGTGCTTTATACAATTGATGTATGTATGTATTGTGATGAGTTGTATGAGCCCCCAATAAAATGACTTAAAAAAACCATTTTACTGGGGGCTCTTCCAGCTCTTAACACATTCCTTCCATCCATCCATTGGGTCAAGCAAAGTTTTCATCATTTTCAAAACATTTTCTTTCTAGAGCCCTTTGTTTCAGCTCATTCCCTCCCTCCCTCATGAACCCTTGATAATTTATAAATTATTATTTTTTTCATGTCTTACACCGACTGCTGTCTCTCTTTACCCACTTTTCTGTTGTTCATCCCCCTAGGAGGGGCTTATATGATCATGGTGATTGGTTCCCCCTTTCTCCCCCCCTTTCCCACTATTCTCATTATCTGTCCTGGATTCCCTGTGTTTCCAGCTCTTATCTGTACCCTAGTACATGCTCTGGTTTAGCTGGATTTGTAAGGTAGAATTGGGGTCATGGTAGTGGGGGGGGCAGGGCGGAGGAAGCATTAAAGAACTAGAGGAGAGCTGTATGTTTCATCTGTGCTCTACTGCACCCTGACTGGCTGGTCTCTTCCTTGCAACGCTTCTGTAAGGGGACGTCCAATTGTCAACAGATGGACTTTGGGTCTCTACTCCGCCTTGCCCCTCATTCACATCGATATGATTTTTTGTTCTGGCTCCAAACATATTTTACCTTTCCTGTCTTCAGCGATAACAAATCATCACCTATTTGCTACTATTTGTATACAAAGTGGACTTGGCTGAGATATCTTCCAATAGGTGTAATTATTTGTTTTAATAAAGAATGTTAATGAATAGAAATCTCAAGAAGCGATTCTTATGTCACAGTACATAAAACTAATAAAAAGGAAGTTCTAGAAGTATCCCTTTATTGGATTTATATACTTATTTTGAACTCGGAATCCTGTGCTTGGCCCATTCAACACCTTTCATCTTCACTAACTCTAAAATGACTTCTAATTCAGCAGAGAAGCAACAAGTCCACAAGGAGCAGCACACTGCTGGTGCAACAGGCATCCGCAGACACATAACTAACAAAAACTTATCGTTGAGAAGGAGGGGGTTTACAGAGACCCAAAGCCCATCCGAGGACAATGGAACAATCTCCCGAGAGAGGGGCCACAGGGGAGGGACGAGTCACCAGGGTGCAGTAGAGCATCGATGAAACACACTATATTCCCCTGGTTCCTGAGGCTTCCTCACCCCCACCACGACCCCAGTGCTGCTTTTCAGTTCAGACTAGACCGGAACAGGCACACAGGTATAGATAAGAGATGGGAGCTCATGACACACAGAATCCAGGGACAGGAGTGGGAGTAGTGATACTAGAAGGGTAGAGGGAAGAAGGGGAGAGGAAAGGAGAAAAGGGGAACCGATCGCAACGATCACACACAACCATACACCCCTCTACAGGGAGAAGAATAACAGAAAACATGGGGCAAGTGAGACAGCTGTCGGTGTGAGAGATGAAAATACTAACAATGTACAATTTCTCAGGGGGTTGGGGGGGGAGGAGCTGATACCAAGGGCTCAATAGACAGTAAATGTCTAGAAAAAAAATGAGAGCAACATAAGTACAAACATGCCTGATTCACTTGATGTATTGATTGTGATAAGAGTTACACGAGTTCCCAATAAGATGATTTAAAATAAAAAAATAAAATGACTTCTAATATTGTTAATCATAATATATTATCATTTAACACTAATACGACAGTCAAATAATTCGACCCCATTCATTCTTGAGTTTAAAACCAACGTACCAGAAATTTACCACCTTTTAATTATTTTATAATTATTGTTAATATATCAAAGTAATTAATTATAAATCATTATGTAAACTATGGTGCACGATTTTGATTGCTAGTTAAAAAAAAAAACAAACGACAGCGAAGTTGGAAAGGGTCCTAAAGAGGAGAAATTGAAATCACTAGAATACAAGCTGCTTACAGAATGACATAAAACATTTTTTTATAAGACTGCTTTAGGAAAAGGTGAAGGTACACTACAATTGACAAAATCTGTTATGTTTCACTTTGAGAAACCGTGAGCAGTCATTGTTGAAGCATGGCATGAGAAGAGAAACAATCTTGTCATGAGCTCCATTACTGGCAGCGGAGTTAAATTTCTTAATATGGCTCTTCTATCCACATCTCTCTACCTCCTACCAAATAATTGGTTAAACAAACCAAATAGGATGTGTTTAACATCAATAGAAGGGATTGGTCAGTTTTACTGTCACTCACTTGGCTCAAAGGATGAGCTGCTTCGGCAGTAAGGAGAGATATCCTTAGGAGCATTGGAAGGAGAGCCACCAGTGTGGCATGCTCAAGACCTGGCTGCTGGCTGGACCAATCACTCTAATTTTACAGATTATTAATCCTGGTTTGAGGTAACCTGTTAATCCCTCTGAGAAATCAGCTACTTTAAGAGTATTGCCTGTGAGTTCTGTCTGGTCAGTGCAACAAATTTATCGAACACAGCATAGAAATATTGTGCCACTGGAGGAACGGTTAGTATCAGAATAGGGTGAAGGAAGGTGGACGTTAGAGGAATGTGTGACCCCCGCCTAGGTAATAGGAAAGCCAGAGGTCAGATAAAGCTCCTGCATGCCATTTTCCACGGCTACAAAAATATCTGTTAACATAAAGTACCTTAAAAATACGTTATGTATTTAAAGCCCTAAACTTAAAGGATTTATTATAACCACATTATAAAGCATAATTGCTACATCTGAATATGTTCAACAAAAGCTGGATCAATGGTCATATAGGGCTGGGAATATCATCATGTTCTTAAGAAAACAGCTTTTGGCTTCAGGTTTTGAAAATCATGATTTCAACAAACTTTCATTTTCACTAACTCTTTACCTTGAGAATGTTGTATCTGTTGAAGATTCCACCTGCATGGCCTCCGTCTCTGTGTTCTCGGACGGTGCTTTGCATCTGATGGAAAAATTATTTCAAATACATGTGCATTAGCTTTTATGTCTTTTTTGATTAGTTCTTCATTCAATCTATTTTTGAGAACACAAAACATGCTTCAACATTTTTGTTATTTAAAGAACGAGTTCTACAAGTTTACGAGTATTATTTTCTAAAGATAGCTGTTAGTACAATTAACTGGAAAACAGCGTCAGTGAGAATTACATAATGTGAACTAAAGGAAGAAAAAACAAAACGAAACATAGTAAACACCCAAACAAGACAACTGGGCACTGCCCCTGAATGGATTTTGACTTAGGCGACCTGCGAGCACAGAGTAGAAAGAACTGCCCCGTTGGGTGTTGCAGACTTTGAATCTTTTTGGGAGCAGACATGTCTCATCTTTCTCCCTTGGAGAGATGGGTCTTGACGGCTGACCTTGTGTTCAGCAGTCCCATGTGTAACTCACTACTCCACCAGGGTTCAGGGAGGGCACAATTCAAACATTTTAGTGGATTGAGTTTAGGGTGAAGAAAGTTAGAGGATAAATTTCCTGGAGAAGCAGCACTCACTTGTTCTGGTCTTTTCTAAGGTTCCAGGCTTTGCAGTAGGAGTTTGGGGAGGTTGTTAACCACAAGGTCAGCAAGTTCGAACTTACGAGCTACACGCCAGGAGAAAAATGAGGCTTTTTACTCCTGTAAATATTTAAAGCCTTGGGAAACCCACAGAGGCGGTTCTACTCTGTTGCATATGGTTCTAAGAGTCAGGTTTGATGGCAGTGATTTTATTTATTTAGAAGCTTTGCAGTTGCTTTCATGGAAAGTGGGAACACTGGCATTTTCTTTCCAATGGTAGCAATCTCTTCTCCAAAAAAATTGTGCTATTGTAACAATGAACCAAGTTATTAAATTACAGTTCATTGAGAGAATGTACCTTACATATCAACTCTAGGAAGTTCCAAGTAATCCCATACTTCATGTTCAATTAGATCCAAAACTTTTAACAACTGAACCAAAATTAAATCTTGTTGATTTATCTTTCCAATTATTAAGGTCTATGAACGTACCTCTTCCTCCACAGACTGAAATTCTTTATCATCAGGAGACAGATCTATGAGAATTGTTCCACTGCCAGAGGTGTTCAGAGCTAAGTACGGGTTAAGACCTATGGGGGGGGAAAAGGAAGGTTAAAAAAAGGTTAACATCAACCCAAAATAGCCAACTGGTTTATTTAATGTTTACTATTCATTTTAAAAGTTTAACAATACAGAAAGTCTCAAAGACAGTACACAGAGTTCCTGTGTCTCTTCCACCCAACGTCCCATGTTATCACCTTATATAATCACGATGTGTTTGTTGGAATTTATTAACTGAATGACAGGCTTAGCTGATTTCCACAGCCTTTTTTCTTTCTGACCAGGCCATCACATTGAATTTAGACTATTAAGTTTTGACCTTATAAGCCAAGTCACAGGGTTGTGTAAGACGATTTTTAAAAATTCTTTTTTAAAAAATGAACATTTTATTGGGGGCTTTTACAGCTCTTATAAGAATCTATACATCAATTGTACCAAGCATATCTGTACATTTGTACATGCTGCCACATCATTTTGGAAACATTTATATTCTATTTGAGCCCTTGTTATCAGCTCTTTTTTCCTCCTTCCCGACCCCTTGATATAATATAAATTATTATTATTTTTGTATCTTACACAGACCGCTATCTTCCTTCACCCACATTTCTGTTGTTCATCTCCCTGGGGTGGGGTGGGTGGTGGTGGTGTGGGCTATGTATCAATCAATGTAATCAGTTCTCCTTTCCTCCCCCTACCCTCCTGGTATTATTACTCCCATTTCTGTTCCTGAGGGGTTTATCTGACCTGGATTCCGTGTGTCCTGAGCTCATATGTGTACCAGTGCACAAGCTCCGGTCTAGCTAGAACTGAAAGCAGGACTGGGGTCATGATAGTGGGGGTGAAGAAGCCTCAAGAACCAGAGGAATGTATGTTTCCAGGGCACCCTGGTTGACTCATCCTTCTGTGGGTGTCCTATTGTGTACAGATGGGTTTTGGGTCTGAATTCTTCTATTTTTTATCTCCTATTCATGTCATACATTTTCCTTAATTATTTTTAAAGACCAATTCTGTAGCCCTTTCAGTATGTAAAATATGAGAAAGTATTTTAAAAATTTGCAGACTCAAGGTAATTTTAAATCATCTTAGAAGCTCGTAATGTCAAAAATCCACTGCTATAGAGTTGATTCCAATTCATAGAAAGCTTATACATAAGGTTGGAGACTGTAAATGATTACACAAGCAGACAGCATCACCTTTCTCCCAGGGCTGATGAGTTTGAATCAATGACCCCACATTAAAAAAAAAAAGGGCAATAAATTTGTCATGTTTTCTGAATATCAATAGTCAAAATATTTTTTCCCCTCACAAAAGCTCTTTAAATGGGGTTTCCTAATTTATTTGATATAGTTGTAGCACAATTATCTCCTTTAATCTCTGCAACAGGATTGCAGGTGGGAGGTTCTAAGCGTTTACTGTGGCATGGAGGTCTGCTGCTGGGAATTCAGGACAAGCACTACACTGGCCCCGAGCTATGACCTGCAGAACACTCCCACCAGCATGCCGGGCTCTGAGAGGAATGGCTGAATCACAACGTCTGCGTGAACAAGAGAGTCCACACGGAAGAGAATGACTTCATCAACACAGACTGTGACAAACATCTGACCAAGGCATCGGTAGCTCTCCCCAAGAAAAGATCAGGACAAGTAATATATATTGACTTGATGCATTGAATGGTCTCTGGCTGTTAGGGCATCAAGATGAGAAGTTGTTGGAAAATCAGCACAGGTGGCCACTGGCTGCAAACCGCAAAATTAGGTAGAATAAATATGAAGCTGCTAATTCTTTAACTAGGAAAGTGACCCTGATGTACTAAATCAGATACAGCCATTCTGTCTCACAGCCATCTTTCTCCTTCAAGTAGGAGTAAATGTTACTACCCAATTACAGCTAGATGATGCTATCCACAACTGTAGGGCCAGAGGTGGTATGGAGGAACCAGTGCTACCTGGAGGCAATGGTCTTTGTCTTCACTGTCTCCTGAACTTTTCGACACAGTTTAACTATGCACTGGACACTGTTATGTATATATGTTCAAACACTGCCTGTTTCCTAAATGATACTTACCCCAGTATTCCATTGTAATTACTGCACTATCAGATCTATAATCTTCCAGTAAAACCCTAATAGCAGCCTACCACTAAGGAGTCTATTCCCTCTTTAGTTGTTATGCTATTTACATTGGATACTGACATTCCATTTTCTATCTCATAAAACTTGCTATCTACACTAGAAATATCCATGACTGTATTATATTTTGAACTTGTCCCTTTAGTTGATCCTACTCTAGAATACCAGCTTAAAGCATTCCTTAACCACAAATCAACTAATTCTGAGAAGTGTTCTTATTTTGTTTTAACAAGAGGTAGAAATATACTGGCTAGCATACTTCGTCCCTAAGTAAATCACGTGCTCAGTTTAACAGTGAAGTTAAAATGCACTTTGACAGTTACTTTCCTTTTTTAATACTCAGGGCCTGGTATACAGAAAGTGTTAACATGTGATGGATGAATGTAATTTGGATCTTCCATAAGCATCAACATTTAAATTCACTGCCATGGATGGACATCATAATGATCCCACAAGGCAGAGTAGGACTACCCCTGTGAGTTTCCCATGTATAACCCACCACGACACCGGGCTCTTGCATCAACATTTAGGAGACATAAAGTATCACTCGAGTCTTACAACATCAGTGTTTTCCAGCACTGTAATTGCAAGTGTTTAATATATTATCTATGTAAGACATTGATACAACATTTTATGTGCTAGCCTGAGCAGCTAATAATTACCTATGATATTACCATAAGACATGAGACATGAAAGCTTCAGGTCATTTAGAATGATAAAATTTAGAGCTAGAATTACTTCAAGATTTCATATACCTTCCTAATTTTAGGTGGTTAAAGCAATAATGGCTTAGAAATTTTACTTAGCTTTTCACATGGCTAATAACAGGAGCTCAGGAAGTTGAACAACTAGTGTAAGTCTAAGATCTGATCCCAAGTTTCCCAAATCTTAATGTGTGCTTTCCCTCGTACATTGACTCTTACACATTTTAAATGATCATTTAGTAAGCCAGGTGTGCCTTTATGCAAACGATTAAACTGATGCCAAGAATTACTTCAAACAAAATAAATACCTTGTTGTCCAGAGATAAGTCTCTCAACGCCTTTAATTAGTTTGTGTCTATGTCCATAGGCATTGATTCCAATCTCCTTCAGTTCCTTGTGTCCCATCTCAATTAATACATCCAAGGTGATCTTATAAAAGGATGAAACCGTTTAATCTCTAACTTATGAGAGGCATTCTTATCACCATGATCCCACAATATATTAGGTTCATACATTTAACTAGGATTACTTTGAGCAACTTAAAAAGAAAAACTGAAAGGAAAAAGAAAAGTGAACACTAAATAAAGTTATATCACGACAGACCCAGCTATCATTATTTTCATTTTACATTAGAACCTGAGCAGAACTAAAATGTAAAGAAGAAAAAGGAGATAATAGGTGTCTTTCAAATTAACTGCATTCAGGCATAAAATTTTATCTTGAAAAAGCAAGTTCTTTTCCATGATCACTTGTCATGCACCTTTTAAACACTGTATTCAATGGTTCACTCAGAGTCTGGACGATGTTAACTGGTACTTCTTCATCACTGCTTAAATACATCCTTTCACTCCAAATAAAAAGAAATTACCCTCTGCAGAACTGAAGCCATTCTTTAAAATTCTGTTTAATTTATACACCTTCCATGACTTTCCCAGAGTAATCCAGCTCAGAAACTTTTCCTTTGTTGACTTTCTTAAACCTACGCCAAAATACAACTCTCCATCTATACCTGTTCCAGGGGTACAAGTCTACAGTGACGGTATTTTCTGAACTACAAAAATCGGTCAATATGTCATTAGACTGTTTTACATTGGGGCTGTCTTAGAAAAACCCAGATACACGGTTGGCACATCCATATACCTCCCCATAGCACCCAGGCAAGTGTCCTTCTTAAGGAAGGATAGTAGTGATTGACACAAGGACTGAACACACAGAGCTCAAGAGTCACTTCAAGGGCTCAATAAGCTAAGCTTTGAACCCAAGAAAAGTATTTTACTAGTAAAACTTTTTTGGGGTGTGTGTACTATTTTTATGCACTAACAAATTGAAAGGAAATGCCAAGACCAAATCAAATTAAAAGAGTGACATAAGATTCACTGCCCTAAGTAGTTTGGGTGGTTCAGGACAGTTTAGAAAAAAAAAGAAAAAAAGGAAAACTTTAACAGGTTTCCATTAAGTTAAGTGTGACTTCATAGCACCCTATACGTATCCCCAATTTTTTCCTACGCTGAAGTCCTAAGAAACACAAATTAAGCATTTATATAAAGCCTTTTCTTATTCTTTTTAAAGTGACAAATTGAAATTCTGGAACATATTAGTATTTAACCTAATAGATAATTATTTAAACTCTAGGTACTATAGACATGTATTCTAAATGTTTTAACCCAATCTGAATAAAGTATTAATATATATCCTACAATAACCTCACAGATATCCTGGATATCTTCATAACTTGCCCAATTCTTGCACAAGAATAGGACAAGTATATGCTCAAAGACAAGAAGACCCAATAGCAGCAACACTGGCATTTTATCTAACTCACCTGTTCTCTCTCAAATATATCCATCAGGTGCTCAAGTCCAAGGTTCCTTACAAACTGAGTTATGCTAAAATCGACTCCTGGACCTGGGGAATTAAAAATTTCAGAGCAAAAAGTCTCACATTAGAATAATGCATGTCAATACTGTTAACAATCAAGTTTCCTGACAATTCCTATACATATAAAGAATATAAATAAAGATGAAGGGCCCTAGTAATAGCTGCTGGGGATGTAATACTGAATAAACATCAAAAACGGCAAAGATAATGCTATAAAATTTCATTATTAGAAAAAAAACAACAAACAAACCAAGACATTCTCAGGTTAAGGGAAAACCTTTTCTTTTTTTTTTTTTGAAAGGGGAAAACCTTTTGGTTTTCTACTTTAAACTTTATTTTTCATGAGATCCTTATAATCAGTTTCCCATCTTTTGAGATGTAAACTATTTCAAAATAAATTTTATGGAAACAAGTTCCACAATGTTGTATACAGTATAAGATAAATTTGGACAAGTAAAAAGAAGAGACTAGTATTATAGTCACTGCAGGTATATGCATCATGCATATCTTTCCTTAAAAAAAAAAAAAGTAAACGTTGTGTATTGTGACATGCAGTCAAAAGCTTTTATACAACTCCATCCCACTTCCTTGGAAGCAACCAAAAAGCAGTCCCAGCGGTTCAGTGGTTAGAGTATCCAGCCACTAGCCAAATGGCAGTGGCTTGAACTCACTGGCTGCACCACAAGAGATAGATGTGGCAGCGTGTGTCTATACAGATTTACAGGCTCCGAGACCCTACGGAGCAGCCGTTCTCCTCTGTGCCAAGTCTGAATGGGCTCACGAGCAGTGGGTTTGGTGTTTAGGTTCTGACTCAACCAGGACCTTCAAACAGTTCGTATCTAAAGAGTGCATAGCAGCCCAAGACTCATCAACTTCCAACTTGAAATGAGAAAAATTCATTAAGAAATTCTATTAATGTAAAGAAAACATTGAAAGGCTAAAGACTCTGGGCTATACCAATTAATTTGATTCTTGTAGTATATTTTAGGTTTGAAAAGGACATCTGAGCATTCAAACGGGGAATAAGGAAATAGCAGTGTCTCACCTTCTTTTTTATCTAAGTTGGAAGTACTCTCTGTTCCACTTGAACTAACTACTGAGGACAGTTCAGGGAAACTGCCAGATAAGTTATCAAGACTGCTAGCTGCAGAAAGGCTTGATGGGCTGGATGGACCCGAAGACAGAGAATCTGGGGTGGCTCCTGGGCTTCTCACCCCATTGAGCACTTGTGGCTTATAACACGCAGGTAGAGCAGAAGGGGGCATGGCTGCAGTGAGGAGAGCACTGACGTCATCGGCCTAGGGGACATGTCAGAGAGGAGTCTGCCATTAGCAAGGCCTACAATTCTGTTACACTCAATAGAAATGTAATTTTAAAAGGTGATAAAACAATAGATCTGCACTAGAATTTCCTTATTATATAAATAAATAACATTAAAAAGTGAAACATGGTGGCTGATCCTCAACTAAACTGGTAAAAAATAAAACGTAACTCAGAACATCTCCAACACACACAAACACACACACACACACACACACACACACACACACACACACACACACACTCTCTCTCTCTCTTTCTCTCTCTCAAAATAAATTTTGTTCAAGTGGCAAAACATGAAGAATATCTCAACTTAAACACCGTGACTTGAAAAGCATTGATATAGAATTACAGAAATATCAATTTAAAAAGGTTAAACCTTTTAACAACATCGTTATTCTGAAAGACACAATTCAACCTATGTAGAACTTTAACAAACAGTGTGATGCTATTTTTTCCTGGGAAATAGTCAACAAGACAATCACTTCCACCAAATCTCCTAGAATCAGAAGTCCTCAAATTTACTGGTACATTAATTCTTTTAATTAGTGACAATGCCATTCTATCCTTTTATAACTGATCAAGTAGGACACTAAATAATTAACATTCAGCAAGAAGCCAGCCAGTACTTATTTTCACTGTTAGCCATATATTTGATCTATTCCAGTCTGTTGTACATTTTCCTTCCCCCTAGTCGGAAGACTCCCAAGGCACTGGTAGTTTGCATATAAAAATTTAGAATAACAGTTCCACTTATTGGGTGTTTACTGTGTACTTGTTATTGTGCCAAGGACTGTACATACACATTATTTTGTTTAATTATATTAACTAGCTACATTTTAATCCTTATTTACAGATAAGATGACCAGGCTTAGAGGAGAGGCAACTTGTTGTACAACTCAAAATGATTGGCCTTCCCAGCCCAGATATGTATGTTTTCTAGAGCACTCTGTTGTAACTGGTGGATTAATAAATGGGCAGAATGAATCAAAAGTTCACTTGAGTGGTTAAAAACTAGGAAGATATTTTCTTGAAGAAATAGGCTGAATTTATGGCTGAGTTGTCACGCTGCTAAGAAAAATCTTTGCAATGTAACCTGGAGCAACAGAATTTCTCACAGCAATGTGTCCATAGAAGAGGCAGACTCCTCTTCCTTCCTTCCCACCACAGAGAGAATTTCCTCTCCTTTCCCCACCCTGGCCTGGCTCCGGTCAATGTTCTTAGTAATGGAGGCAAGAGAGGACTTTTGTTCCAGTGTCCACAGTGAGGTGGAGGCTACAGTAGCATCTCCTACATGAGCTCCAGTGGGAAGGGGAGAAGAGAAACAGAAGTGACAGGTTTGTTCCAGGGCAGATCTGCTGGATTAAACAATGAGGACTTTGAGGATGAAGAGGGTGGGTGGGAAAGAAAACCCTACTAGTAGAGTTTTGTGGCTGTATCTTGTGGGCATTATTCCAAGTTGGGAAAGTTGACAGAGATTTGTGGCCTGTATTAACTTGCAATTACTGAAGGCTTATGCCTGTTCTGTTTATCCAGTTAATGCAACCAATTATACCTCGTACTTTTTCCTATTTCTAAAAAGTACTCAGCATATAATAACTAACCAATAGTGCTGTTACTTATATTCTAATACCAATGAAGTCCCAAATTTAAAAATTAGACTAACAATTCATGCCACAATCACTATGAAGATATTTTATATACACACCAAGTGAATTTGAAAGTCAGGAAAGCATTGAGATTTTTAGAGAGCCCATCACTTACTGAAACTAAATCTAAAGGTGTTTGTCCTTCCTGATTTTTAAGAGTAGGATCAGCTCCGTGGGCCAACAATAAAGCACAAAGCTGTGTCCGTCCCTTTTGGGCTGCTTCATGCAAAGGTGTGAAAGCCCATTTGTCCGTGGCATTGACACATGCATTATACTTTATTAGTAAAGCTGCTACATCTACATGCTGTAAAAGAAAATACTGTTATAGTCTGAATTATTACTTTACCACACTTTAGTTCTTAAGAAGAAACTAGCTGTATAGCTACTTCTACATTTTCAAAACTTACCCTTGAAAAGAAAAGAGACACGTTTTTTCCCAACATCGCAATTTTGGGGAAATAGACTAAAAATCACAGAAGACATTTCAGTGACTCGGGGCCACTCTATAAAGCAGATGGCTGTGCTCCGCTGTGCTGGTGGCAGTCTCACCTACTGCAGCCCCAAGGGCAGGGCCCAGTGCCGCACAGGGTTTCTTGGTCTTTAGTCTTTGAGTAGACGGCTAGGTCTTTTCTCCGGCAAAGCAGCGGGAGGTTTGGACCACTAATCTTTCGGTTAGCAGCCAAGTGCTTAACCATTGCCAACACCAAGGGTCCTATTATAAGCTAGCAGTTTATGAATGGCATCATTTAGTTGATGATGCTACTAAAGACGGCCCACACTGAGTGCATTTAACCATTCGGACCGTCTTAGGTCAGGAAGAATGCAACTGAGTAGCCCTGGAGTCCTATGAATGGCAGGAGGTGTTTTGGGGACCAACAAATAAAATCACCAACACCTCACTGAAAATAAAGATTAAGAGGCAAGTGCTCAGGAAAGTAATAAAACAAATGACAACAACAGTTCCAGACCACAAGGCTTATGTTTACAGTATACTCAGAATTGGGCCTTGGAAGTTAGTTAATCTCTGTAGCTTTCATATTTACACACGATTGAGAAAAACCACACTATGTTGCCTTTGAACTGCAATAATATGATAGGTTTTTACAGGTAACAGAAGGAGCTTACCCCATAGGATGCTGCATTATGTAAAGGAATTAGTCCCCCTTTGTCTTGGGCATTCACATCAGCTCCATGTTGTAGTAAATACTCTGCAACTTCTAAATTGTTGTAACCAGCTAATTTAAAGAAAGGAAATAAAAGTGTTTTACTCAATATCAACATATTAACATATGAGTCAGATGTGGACATAGCAACATCTATACATAGAAATTTTCAAAGCATAGACATTATTGAAAAAGTAAATATGTGAAATTTTATGGAGCTTTTTTAAAAACTAATTTTATTGGGGGCTCGTACAACTCTTATCACAATCATTTCATCCATCCATTGTGTCAGGCACATTTGTACATTTGTTGCTATCATCCCTCTCAAAACATTTTCTTTCTACTTCAACCCTTGGTATCAGATGAAGATTTTATCTTATGGAAAGAAATCCCACTGGCTTCAAGCTGAAAAGCATACAGTGGTACCCATCACTTTGAAACCTGTGCTGTTTTAATGCTAAGGTCCACAGTTTAAAAGGTCTATAAAAATAAAAGGCAGCCAAACATAAAAGTTAGAAATCCAAGGATAAGTTTAAGTAAAAGCATTGCTACTAGGATTTCAGCTCATACACGCCCAGCTTGATTCCAACACAACAACACAAACATGACTTTGTGTTCAGTAGATGGCTGTAGACAACTTCTCTCAGTATACATCTGAGCCTCAGGGTGCTCCCCCCCCCAAAAAAAAGGTCCAATCAAAACAGCAGTTTCTTCATCTTCTTTAAAAACAACAACAAAAAAAACCCCTTTTATTGGGGGCCCTTACATCTCTTACCACAATCCATACATTCATCCAGTGTGTCAAGCACATTTGCACATATGCTGCCATCATCATTTTCAAAAAGCATTCTCTTCCCACTTGAGCTCCTGTTATCAGCTCCCCATTTCTTATCCCTTCCTCCCCCCAAACAGTGGCTTCTAAGAGAATCTACTGGGTCGCTTAAATTCGAGGCAGAGGTTATGGCAACTGCATTTTGAGATTCCCAAGTGGTAATCTTAATAGATTTTCTCAAAGGCCACAGAACAATCATAGGAGCATATTATGAAGGAGTTTTTAAAAAACTGAAATTGATATTGGTGAGAAAAAGGCCAGAAAGTTGCATCGAAGAATTTTTTCCATCATCACAATGCACCAGCTCATTATTCAAGAGTAGCAAAGAATTTGAGTGGGATATCCATTCCATGGCCCTGATCTTGCCCCTTCTTTTCTACTTCTTTTTCTTCTTCCAATTCAAAGAACACTTAATAAGGGAGAGGACTAATTTCCTCAAGGGTGCCCCAATTGCCATTCTGATGTGGTGTGAATCCAAGAACGCACCATGCTCTGAGGAAAGACTAGAGATGGAGACATCACCTTCAGGGTATGGACCCAGATGGAAGGGATGCTGGTGCGAAACAATAGCTTCACATTTAGATATTTTCATTTAATTAAGGGTTCTATGATTCTGCAGCAAAACTTGTTGATACCCTCGTACAAGTAGCTAGCAGAACGAACACGAGACCAGCGTGGGCCTCACAGCCCTTCCCAAGAAGGCCACAAGGATATCTTTTCTTATTAGAGAGAACCTAGGGGTATGCATGTCCACAAGTTTGGCAGTAACATTTATGTGTTGCTAAAGCCAGGAGATAAAATCTGTTATTTTAAAAAATGTGTTAACGATCTCCTACTTGTCAACTACCTTTCGAACTGCCAGCTATTTCAGTAAGGACATACTTTTATGGCAAAGTACATCTTATCTGATACAAACTCATAAAAGAGCAAATCTGGAACTCAATTTTGTCACGACAAAAAAGACACAACTTGAAATTTTAAAATGGTTTTAAATATTTTCTATTTGTATTAAGTTTTAATCCTTTTCCTATAGCATCTCCACCCAGAAAGTTTAGTGAAACCAAGTAAAGAAAAATAAAAATTTCATAAACTCGGTTGGTTATTATACTGAATCCAAAAGCCCCTCCAGGTTTCTGGTACGATAACGCAAAACTGGGTAGAAATATGTTACACGCAAGGTTGTCCCCTAACAAAGACAACATTGATTTAAACACTAGTCTTAAACATCCCAGACGAGGGCAGGGGAGACATGGAAAGTGAATGCAGAAATGCACACCCCAAGTGCAAACCCAGAGTCCAAGCAGCCCTCATCTTTGTGGGCAGACTCCTGCCTGCCAGTGAAAGGAGAAGCTACTTGGTACCATGTTGACATATGCGGTTCTTCGATGCAAGATGCTCACTCAGAGGGAGTAATTCTTCTTGGACAGTGGGTTTCCAACATGGGTTAAGATTCTAAAGGTGAGGTTTAAGAAAAAGAACTCACACAAACCCTCAAATCCTTCAAATACTAGCAAACTTCGCAGTTACTCATATTAGGAGAATAAAACAAACTGAGAAAACAAGTCACCATCTTTCATATTAGACAGTGGCAAAACCACTTGCATCAATTTTCCCTTTTTGAAGGAACTGTGCATTTAGATAAACTCATGAGTCAAATGTACCCACGAAGGTATCAGCTACAGCTCAGCATTTTATCGGCTCATCACAAAGCCTCGTCAATGCAGCTAAAAAACCGTACTCCAAATTCTACGTTTCACACCAACACGAAAGCACAGGTGCACTGTGTCAATTTTAGGAGTGAAAATTCTGAAAAAATTATTTTGGGGAGAGGTTTATACAACTTCTAAAAGTCTTTATGATTTGCCGCCCCCCCTTACCCACTCCCCTTGTGCTTAACAGCTACTATCACAGTGGAAATCTTTAGCCAGGAAGGCTGTTTTTTATATGCAAAATTTACTCAACAACGGAATTTCAAACAAGATGACCTGGAATAAAGAGCTCTAAAGCACGTGATGGTTGACTGAGGCGGTTTGGTTATTCTTACCGAATGTAACATGCCAGTACCGAGGGAACTGGCTCACTTACTAGGAACACACAAACACAGTGGAAGGTGTTCATCTGGGATTTTTCACTTGTACTTCCAGTCTTACTCACAGACTAAGATTAAGATTAAACCTAGTTCACTTACCTGCTAAATGTAACGGGGTTGAATGTCTGCCTTGTGTATCGCGGCAATTTACATTATCAGGTGAAGACAGCTTCTTTACTCTGGCTAAACAGCCTTTCTTGGCAGCATCTAGTAAAGCTGCGTCCCCCCGAAGCAGATCTTGGATATCTGTATCTCCATCCTTAACAAGATCCAAAGGGGTATTTCCATCTCTGTTTTTCTTGGTAGGGTCTGCACCATGCTAGGTATGAAACGGAATGGGAGAATTGGCTTAAGTTTTTTCTCAGTCTAAGGAGATGTAACTATACAAAGAAAACCACTGAGACCATCTTAAAGGATACTCGAGTTTGTTATTAATACGTATACACACAGCACTGTAATAGCAGTGAAGTATTATTGTAATACATTATGTAATAATGTAGCACACATTTTAAACTATCTTCAAAATAAAGCAGTTATCAAGAAAAATAAAGTAGTATCTATCAAAAACAAGTGATTTCTACTTTTCATATCACTGGAATAAATGAAAAACCCTATTCCCTCCCTCCTTTTTTACGGCAAAATGTTTATTTTGGTATCAGTATTAAAACAAATATTTTGAGGTTAAAGTACTACATAGGAATAATTAAGATGATTAAAGAACCATCACATGATCTTAGCTGACAACAAATCTGTGTGGTATACATGTATGTAAACTGAAATATAATGTCAGCATTTATTCTGAAATCTATGTTAGGAGAGTGTTAGGTAACTGCTTTCCATTCCTTTACTAAGTTTAAACTAGAGTGTATCATCAGCATCATAAACATATTCTCTGTCATACACTGGACACAGCAAGTACTGAAATATACCTGGAGCAGAAGTTTGCAGATTTCATATTTTCCCTTTGCAGCGGCTTCATGTAAAGGTGTGAATTTCCACAAGTCAGCTACATTAACTACAGCACCGTGCTTAACAAGAAGCTCTGCCACTTCATAATGCCCATAGGAACATGCGTTGTGCAAGGGCACAAGGCCTCTGAAATGAAAAGGAGGGCGAGCAGTGCAACAGACGGCTATGTCTGAGGAGATGCCAGGGGCCGATGAAAGACTTCTCTCTAGCTCTGGAAGGAACTCTACCGATTCTCAATCTACTGAATGCAAAAAGTGACTTCATTCAGGGAAAGGAACCAAATTTAAATGTTTAAAAATACTAAGTATATAACAAACATCCATATACCTGTAATTTAGATTAAAAACTGCTTATTTTTGATGAAAAATAATTTCAAGATAAATTGAAAGAATTCAAATATCCTCAATGAACACTGAACATTTTATATCATTAAAAACCACTATGACACTAATATTGTAATCTCCTTCTTGACTACGAGAAGGCTTTAAGAAGTTTATGAAAAGATTTCATGATCATTTAATTCAACTTTTCCACGAACTAATGAAAGATGTCTTATTTTATAAAGTAAGGCATTACGTAAATATATTTACATAAATGCTAATCATCAGAAAATCTTAAGCAACATGACCAAACTCAACCAAATCTGTGGCTAGAGTAGATTCTGAGTCAACGAGCCTTGTGGAAGGAGTAGGACTGTCCTACGGACTGGCTTTCCAAGTCTATGAAAGCAGACTGCTGTCTTTCTTCTGTGGACTGCAGCAGTCAACGAAGCTAACCACTTCACCACCAGGGCCTATAACTTGAAACTAAGAAGTACATTCCTATTCTCTAAAAAGAATTAGCAGAGAAAAAGGTACATACCCTTTATCTTTAGCATGCACATCAGCTCCATGTTGCAAGAGAAATTCCACCACAGACACTCTATTATACCCAGCTGCAAAATGAAGTGGTGTGGACTGACGCCCTTCAATGTCTCTGCAATTAACACTTTGAACAGTACACAATTTCTGTAGGGTGGAACAAAGTATACATAAAGAATAAAACGTATTCTTGTAAATGGCATAAAATGTACATTTCTTAATGTATTTCAAATACCTCTTTTATCTCATCAAATCAGCGTTCTCAGAAACTTGTTTATTCTTATTTCATCTAGTCCTTTTTTTCCTGCTTTACTTGTTTTTGTATATTTTGTTTTAATTTTATCCAAATTATATATTTGCATATACATTAACAAGTCAAAGTATTTCTTTCCATCTAGTCACATTTGAGACTCACTCGGGTTTCTCACATTGATGCTTGTATCTTCAATGTTTTCTAAAGCCATTAAGAAAAATTTACGCCAACTAACATGACTCCCAGTTTCTCATTCCGTGTCTCTGAGGGTTAATTTCACAGCAGGCCTTTTGTCATGGCTGACAAGGAGACACCAGAAAAGATCTGCATATTCAAAATGTGGGTAATGCAGAAAAATACTCAGAATGACAGGCAGAAGAACAAACATGACAGGCGGGGCCAGGAATGGGAGACTCAGAAGCAGCTGAGTGAAGCCTCTTGGGAGCCTGATGCGGGAGACTAGAGCACCGGTCAGGCTAAGGCAAGAGACTCACATTCAATGTACTAGTGCGACTTGGGCAGGGTGGTGGTTTTGGACGCTGCTCAAATCCCATGGGGAAGGGATTTGGTTGCTATGCAAGAACCAAGCTGTCCTTGTTTTCTAAGGAGAGATGCAGTGTCTAGCAGGGATTCAACCTGTAATTTTTCCCATTCCAATTATTATTTCAGTTCAGCCATGTTCTAAAATTCAAGTCTGTCCAGTTTTGCTTCCTCAATCATGACTAAACTGGGAATCCTTCAATGCCCTAGTTCCCATTTATGCCAATGCTGCTGGTTGAGGGACTGTATTTGGAAAATCATACTACACTGCAGGCAGGATGGCATAGTGGGTACGCGAACTCACAGCGAGTGCTATCAGGCGGAGTGGGTGCCTCCAGGCATTAGGTGGCAGAGGGCCAGAAAGACCTGCCTGCAGTAATGGCTGAAGAGGCTGACCTAATTGAAGAACCGTATCCTGAGTGCTTTGACCCTGAAATGTAACCTGTTATTTCCCTAATAAACCCTGAAGCTGCACGGCCCATGAGTTTTGCGTGGCCACTGCAATGAACTATCGGACTCATCAGAGGAAAGAGTGCCATGGAAAGGACAGCTGGTGTCAGAACTGATGAAAAAGACTGGTAAGAAGGGGGTGTATGTCCGATGTCCGCCTTGTAAGAATCAGCCTTGGTTAATGCGGACAATGATCTTCCTTGTCTCGGCACAACATACCCCACACTCCTCCCACACTTCATTTCCAATCTGGCACAGGTTTTCTAGTATTAGGCATCCAATAAAGTATCTAGATCACTGGTAAGCAAACTGAGTACACCCTTATGTGTTTTGGGGGGATAATAACGCAAATGTTTGTGTCCCAGTGAGGCACACGGAGCCACTTGAGTAGAGACTGGTGAAGAATAGAAAGACGGATGGAGATAATTTTTCATCAAGTGATTTTAAAAGCAGAGGAAAGGGAAGACAACCTAGTAGTTATTGCTGGGAGAGATGAAGGTCGTCTTTGACCCAGTAGCATTATATTTGTTTCGAAGTCTAATGCCCTCAGCTTTATCATATCTGAATCAGAACTCTTCCTTGAGACTTCTATCTTTACGAAAATAAAGTTGTCTTTAAGATCCTGCTTATTCTCTAATATTCAAGTAGACAAACATTTAAATGTATCATAAATCTTGGCACCCCCTCTCCAAGTCTACTAGACGTCCTTTAACTAGTTGCTTGGATTTTATAATTTCCCCACCCAAACTCAAACCCAAACAAAAGAAATTCACTTGCTATCTTTTAACGCAAATGATTTGATATTTTTCTGTCATTAATGAAAAGAAAGTCCTCCTTTCAATATCCTATTAACCTCCTAGTTAAGGGAATAAAAATGTAAATATGTCAAGCAATAACAGCATTATAACATTTTCTTGAAAAAAATAAAACCTGAAGTTATTTAGAAGTGAGCATACTGTTTATACGAGAAGAAACTATAGTAAAATATATCATAGATTTTTAAACCCACTTCCAGAATTCCCTTCATTTAAAACAGTGGTTCTCAACCTGTGGGTTGTGACCCCTCTGGGGGGGTGTCAAACGACCCTATCACAGGGGTTGTCCGATTCATAACAGTAGCAAAATAGGTATGAAGTAGCAAAAAATATATGGGGGGTCACCATAACATGAGGAACTGTATTAAAGGATTGCGGCATTAGGAAAGTTGAGAACCAGATATTTAAAAGAACAATGAGTGGATTGCCTCAGAGCTCAAGTTCAGATGAGAACAGCATGCACACTTCTTAGGATATCTAAAGTTATTAACTTTGTTGGGCTAGTCTACTGAAAATTAGGAATACCATACAGAAATATGTGAAACTACTTCAGAAGCTACACTTGCCATGAATGGAAACAAATTTATCTTTTTTCTGAAATGTATTATCTGTCAGTAATAAAATAGTGCAATGTTTTCAAAAAGTCTGTAAGGAACAGAAAACCCAACAAATGTTCCCCCACCTCCCTCTTTACTAGCTTTGGAAAATTTAAATATTATTGAATTATGAAGAATTACTTATGAAACATGCAAAACTAATTTGAGTTATTTTACCTGGACATACAGTTTAACAGAAATACCTGGTATGGGCATTAAGGCATTATATATGCTACTATGGTAAAAGGCAAAAACAGAACTTCAGGTTTACTCTGTTTAAGTCTGTATAGGAGAGGGGCAGGTAGTGCTCATGTGGAAGCCAGAGAAAGAAAGAAAATCAACGTTTTACTCTGGGTGAAGTGAGGATGGTGAGACTGCGTGTGCTGTGTTTTTAGTGCATGTGAGCACGGGCTCACCAACAGGAGGAAGGGCACAGAAATGCACCGGAAGAAACGGGGAAACGGAAGCGACTTTCCGTTTCGTTTTTCTTCCTGTTTTATAGGTCACATGTAAATCATGGCCAATTTGACACATCTTATGCTTTTCAAAGAATAAATAGGTTCTTTAAGCAAAATTCATAGTGTTAGATATCGTTTATTTAAACTTGTGAATGTAGACTGAAGTGCACATAAACCTGAAATACCCCTCTTCTCTCATTATTCGATGCCTCTTACTTCCACAGAGCAGAAGAGCTTTACTAACCTTTAAAACAGGCACATATAAATACCTAGGCTGACCACAGTAACAGTACAGGCTAACCAAACAGCCCCGAGTAAACGAAAACATAAGATCATATCTTACTTTGACAGTTTCTACATCTCCAGCCTTTGCAGCTTCCAGCAACTGTCTGTCTGCCTCGGAATTACCTAATGGGATACCTTCTAAAAAGAGAGAAATAGTGGTTAACTCCTGTTGAGAAGGCAGGTCCAAAAGTCTCACGAGAGGAACTCATCAGAAAGTGAAGTTCCCTTATCATTTGCTAATTATTTAGTGAGGAAACAGCCTAACTCTTAGAAGAGCCAACAATCCCAGTGAGAAATAATGCCCTAAGCACTGACTCTTCTTTGCCCCTCTTCTAATCCTTCCTAAAGAAGCATGTGCATTTTTCGGGTAAAAATGTACAGCCAGTCATTTACTAACGAGGAGCCCTGGTGGCACAGTGGCTATGTGTTGGCTGACAGTTGCAAGGTCAGCAGTTTGGAACCATCACATTCATTCCTCGGGAGAAAAAAAAAAGGCTTTCTACTCCCATAAAGAGTTAGTCTCAGCAGTGGACAATATTAAGATATGAAAATGATAACTTAATAACTTATTAAGGGTTCATGAGGGAGATGGAGAGAGGAAATAAAAATGAGGAGCTGATACCAAGGGCTCAAGTAGAAAAAAAATGTTTTGAAAAGGATGGCAACATATGTACAAATGTGCGTGCCACAAATGAATGCATGGATTGTTTTAAGAACTGTAAGAGCCCCCAGTAAAATGATCTTAAAAGAGTCTCTAGACCTCACAGGTTCTCTCCTGTCCTACAGGGTTGATGGCAGTGAGTCTTTTTGTTTTGTTTTACTTTATTACTAATGAGAAATTGCACAAATATGCTACTGGAATAAAATAAAAATTGACAACATGTGAACACTGAAGTTCATGAGTTAAGAGTCTTCCCCCAAAATATCAAAAATTATCTTTTGATTACCAACTCCTAATATTTAACAATTGTGAAAAGCTTAAATGGTGAATTTTAACAATACATTTTAACAATTGAGTCTCATGGAGGCATTTGCTACCTTGAAGAAGCTGTTGCACATTTTCATTTCCCATCTGCAAGGCAGTAAAGCCTTGAAGGGATATGATGTTTGGATCACAGCCATAGCTCAGAAGCAGGCGGCAGGTCTGCAGATGACCACAATGCGCAGCTCTGTGCAGAGAAGTCTGACCAAGACTGTCCAAAGCATTAACCTTAACAAGCAGAGGAGGATAAAATTAGCTTACAGCGCAAAACTTAAAACCATCTCACTAGGCATTTTATACTCACTAGTAATTTTAAAATCTCAATAATTCTTTATGAAGCTTTAAAATCCAGTGCCAAAGTTGGTATATTTGATCAAATCTAGAGCACATCTCATGAAAGTTGGTATTATAAGGAAGATTTAAATTGGGATTAACAGTGTGAGATGTTGAGTAACAATTATGTGTAGCATTAAAGCATTCATAGATTCACTGCATTTAGAGCTAGACATTGGCTAAAAAAATTTTAAGAGTTTTTATAGATCTCTGAGGCTTAGAAATATGGGAGAGACCATTAGTAACAAAGTCAGAGATTAAATTGGTATCAAAACACTTCTATTGACCTAACCTACTTTTAAAATTATATGACATATAATCTATACAAATAGAAGCACAGTTACACAATGGAAGAGCTGAGCAATTAAAAAGGAACAAACTATTGATACATGCATGCAGCGGCAAATATTGGAGTGGAAACCCTTACATAAGAGCGTCCATGAGTGTGTATATGAAGTTCTAGACGAGGTAAATACAATCCCTGTTAAAAAACAATCTGAATGGGTGCTGCCTCCAGGGGTGGAAATACCTGCAATACGGTATTACCTTTGCCTAGAGATAACCTTCTGTAGTCTCAATAAGGGTTTTTGTTACTCAAGTGTATGCATTAGTCAAAATGCAGCAAATGTACATTTAGGGTTTGTAGATTTCACTGAATATACATTTTATATAGAAAGAAAAACTAGACAAATATTGAGCTCTAGTTGTGCATGCAAAAAAATTTAGGGGAAGTGTACACTTATACTGAAATGTGTAAAATAAGATATATTGATGGGCTAAATTAATATACAAAAAAACAATATAGTTAACATGATAGGTATACAGCTGTTCTATGTAATATTTAATTGCTAACACTCCCTATTACCTTAACCTTCCATCTCCTAGGGGAACAATTCTTCAAAATATAATTGAGAAATTAATCCTATGGTCACTGGTGTGTTTTGAGACACCAGTCAATTTATATTCATGGGACTGGAGAACATTTCCGAAGGAATACAGTAAAGTTTCAGTGACCTTGAAATGGACTACATACTGATAGCATGTTTTCAGAACCTGAGAAATCAATGTAAAATGCTTGGGCAATTAACACACCAAAACTCACTGTAATGTGAGATACATCCCCTTGAAAACTTTTTGGATGCCATCTTATGTTAAGAATAGGGTGACCAACTTGTCCTTCTTTGCCCAGGACTTTCCAGATTTTAGCACCAAAAGTCCCACGTTTCTGGAAATCTTGTCCTGGATAAACCTGGAGGGTTGGTTAACCCTGTTTAAGAGGGTTTCACAACTCAAATTTAATAAGCATCTAGATATTCTTCAATGTAACACATTGTTAAGAAAAGCAATAAAGTTATAGAACAGACAAATGAGATATACGAAGCAGCTAAGCAGAAGTAAAGTTTATTTTATTCAACAATTTACAACAGGAAAAAAAAAAATCAAGATTACACAGTAATAAGAACTTTCAAATCAAAGGATATAATAATCAAAGGGAAATTAGGACACTGAGAAGTAGCATGAAAAGAATGGCAGAATTCTAAGTGGTTCTGTGCGTGGCACCCAAGGAAAGCATGATGAGCAAAGATCCTGCCAAGTCCATTTAGGGAAGGGCGGCAGAAGCCATGCTAGGGCCCCTCCTTCACCCTCCATCCAGAACTGCCCCATTCTCTCCGTCATGCACTGACTGTCTGCTAAAGACTTTGTGAAGAAAGCAAGGGACTGCGGCCAAACTACTAAATCAGGTAGGTGATTATTATCTCTTCCAATCAGAGGACATTATGTATCTTTTACTGGACAGTACTTTTAAGAGGTCCTGGATAGGAAATGATGAATTCTAGTTTTGGGAAACATATAATTATTCTATGAATAAAGATTAACCTCTCAACCAACACAGGGGCTATCATGTTTACTTTGGTAAAATTATTTAAATAATTTTTAATCTTCTGTTTCAAGTTCTTTGGCCTAGTCACAGAAATAACAGACAGTTAACACTGTGGTGGGGGTAAACAACAGCAGTTATCATGGTAATCATGTAATAGAAGAAGATATAGATTTGAGTGAGAAAAGAGGTATGGCGCTAGCTGGAGATATCCTAACAAAACAAAACAAACAACCCAGAGTCCCTAAACCTAAAAGAACCTTGACCAGTAGTGTGGCTGAAAAGGATAGCAGAGGAAGGACATATAGGAGTGAACTGTTTTGAAGTCAACAGGCTTTCTGGCAAAGAATTAGATACAGGTAAAGCACCTGTAGAATTATTGTACAGTGCAGGTTAAAAGTAAGGGAAGGAACACTTTCATTTGCTAAATGGAAAACAACTCTCACTGGATGGCCCAGCGAGTACCAAACACGAAGTATACCTTTGCTTCATGTCTCACCACCACTTCGACGATGTCATTGTGGGCTTTCTCAGACGCCACGTGTAGAGGAGTCAAGAACCTTTCAGAGAAATGGACAGCCAGTGAGTATGCTTCCAGAAAAGAACGTGCCAACGATATTTAATTCTTAGAAGATACTCACTCTTTAGTCTTTTCATTGATGTTTGCTCCTTTTCGTAGCAACAATTCACATATTTGTTTTCTTTTGGGGTACGGAGATGCAGCAGCACAATGCTAGATGATTTAAATTGCAGCATTAATGATGGACTACACACGCCACTTTTTATTAACACTTGTGTTTCTTATTAAGAAAAACCAAGATGTTATTTATTTTATCTCATGTTTTACTAACTGGGCTTGCTAATTTTTTATTGGATAGAATGCCTGAAAAACCTGTGCTACTCAAATGACACCTGTTATTACACAGTGTGAGCAAATCCTAAGTTAATGTTCTCAAATACCATGGTGCTTGACATGTTCTCTTTAAAGATGAAGATAATACTTCCAAAGGTTGAGGTTTCTTAACTTGAAGAATTAACAGAGCACTTAACACTCTAGATTCTGCTTGGTAATAGCACTGGTGCTAACAAATAGAGTAGTATTCACACCTCTCAGTTAGAACCAGGAGCTCACATTATCTATATAGCAGAAGTCTGTGATCTACCACATTTCTAAAATGCTAACACTCTAAAGTTAGGAGACTGAAGCATCTCTATCTCTAATGATCAAAGAGGAGAGGAGAGGTAATCTGTTGGCTGTCAACCTAATTATGTATGTCCCGGTCAAGGTGCTTATCTTTGCATGCCTGGCACCCAGGACAAAAGTCATCCATGGAAGAGGTGGTTGTTAACACAACCCCCTGAGAAGCATGAAATAAAAGTTCTACATAATTTTAAGCTAAGTTGCTCTCTAAATCTAAATACATAATCTATGCCAAACGTCTCTTGATTTTAACCTAGTGTAAACCACAAAGCTTATTTGATGTTCTTGGCTCTGGAACAGAGTCAACAATTCTAGTCTTTTGTATCTGGTTTCTGAAGGCATCCTGGTGGTTGAGCACTCTTGTTAACGAAAAGGGTGGCAGTTTGAGCCCACAACTTTTTCACGGGAGGAAGATCTGATGACCTGCTTCCATAAAGACAATCGTCAAGAAAACCCCAAGGGACACTTCCTGAAAATAAAAAAACCAAGCCTGTTTCTGTCCAGCTGACTGTTGTCCAATAGGCCCCTAGGGGCGGGACCCGACAGGGTTTTTAAGGCTGCCAATCCTGACGGAACTCTTCCTCCTGTGGAGTGGGGGTGGGTCTGAAAAGAACTGCCCACCTTTCAATTAGCAGCTGAGCATTTAACCACAGGTGTCACTGCAACGCCTCACACCCCAAAGCAAGCAACTAAGGTGCTCTTTGTCTTTTTAAAACTGTCAGGTCCCACACTTGGCAACCATACTTCCAAAACAGGGGAGCGCACTGCACAGTCATATATATTCACTGGGGGCACCAATGACAAAGGGACCCTGGGCCTTGGAGCTCCAGCTCCCTCTTTGGGATCTCCCGGATTGATGGGACTATTCATGAAAGGGAGACGGTACCAGATCCCTGGGGACAAGGGAAACACCATGCGGGGAAACCCTCCCAGACCTTGACTGACACATCTGTTCTCATGCATCCTTTCTAGTTATAACTGGCTAAGTATGGGTAATAATTACCATGAGGCATGGTGGGTTGTGTTGGGCTGCTAACTATCAGGTCGATTCAAACCCAGTGGAAGAAAGAGGCAGGCTGCTTCCACAAGGGTTTATGGGCTAGGAAATCCTTGGAGAGCTCCACCATCCAGGGTGCCACAGTTGGGATGGACTCAATGGCAAGAGACTTAGCACAGAGAATTCATGAACCACAAGGCACAATGGAATTCTGACCTAGCTCCCCTGGCTAGTTCAAAGAGAGCTGCCCAAACAGTTTTAAATGTAGACAGGGTCCAAACTCAAGACTCAGTCTTGGGTGCCTGCATAAGTAGTCAATAGGGAAGAGGAAGAGTCCTTTTAGCACAGTGGTTCTCAACCTCCTTGATATTGCGAACCTTTAATACAATTCCTCATGTGGTGGTGTCCCCCACCATAAAATTATTTTTGTTGTTACTTCATAACTAATTTTGCTACTGTTATGAATCGGGCGACCCCTGTGAAAGGGTAGTTTGACCCCGCAAAGGGGTCGCGACCCACAGGCTGAGAACCGCTGTTCTAGCATGTTATCTGGCCACAGAGGTTTTGACCTTATTCTGGGTGGTTAGGGTGAGATAGGAAGTACCACAGAAGTGAGAGGCATCTTGGAGATGTTGGAAGGCGAAGCCTAGGTCTATTTCCAGGTAGGAATTAGAATCATACTGATCCTTACCAAACTGTAACAGCAGTGGGGTTTGCCCACCTTGCCCCTTAAATAGTGCAGTTTATGACATCAGCCTCATAATGAATTTACTTCAGATTTATTCTTTGATGTGGTTATCACCACTTCCCATAATAGAATCATTTCTAACTAGTGAACACGGCTTCTTTAGTTTGTTATGGTTGATCATTCCAGGAAGTCTATCAAGGTTGTAGAGAGAATGACAATCATTTATTTTGAAAATTTGTGAATCATATGCTTTTCAAATGGTCACCATGTTCCTCTATGTCATCCTGGGACAGGGCTTACAATCTCCAGAAACCTGGAAAAACTCTCCCCTGCAGCAATACTACATATGAATTACCAAACTACCCTGTTCCCCCGAAAGTAAGACATCCCCTGAAAATAAGACTGCTTACAGTTTTGCCTCTCGCTGAAATATAAGGCATCCTCCCGAAAATAAGGCCCCCAGAAGCTACCGTAACTCTGGACCCTAGCAGTGGGCGCCGCCACGCAGCTCACTGTTGGCCGCAGCGCAGCCAGAGCAGACAGGAAGTGCGAAGTCTCTTTTAATAAAGCAATAAACAATAAATGTGTACCGTATTCTTCTTCATGAAAATAAGACCTAGCGCATCTTTGGGAGCAAATATTAATATAAGACACTATTTTCGGGAAAACAGGGTACTAGTATGTTTTTAGGTTAATAACAAAAACGAGTTGCTGAATAAAATATTTAGAAGAAAATGCCAATGTGGTTTTATAGATTTTCAGACCAGAAAACTTTTCATGCTGCCAATGTATTCCCAAGTTTCTCTATACCCAGTCTTGATAGAGTTTCATGGTATTATTTTAATTTTATATTACATGTTTTATTAGCCTGAAGCTTTGCTATTTTTCCTTGGATAGTCCCACAAGTAGCAAAAAAAGTACAATGTGTTTTATAGATAGGTTTCTATATAAACTTCACGTAGTTTTTACATGTTTTATTAGTCTGAAGAGCTTTGCTATTTTTCCTTGGATATTTCCACAAGTAGCAAAAAAAGTACAATGTGTTTTATAGATAGATTTCTATATAAACTTCATGTAGTTTACAACACAACATAATGAAGAAAATTGACCACAATATTAAATTAAGTACGGCTACCATGAGTTAAATTTGTTCCTAAGTACATTAATTTACTCTGAATCATTTTTTTCTCACCCAAAACACATTCATCAATTCACAATATAGGAGTTACCTTTATCCTTCTAGATTTCTAGTTTTAAGGCGGCCTCTGATTATATACGAGCTTGGTCATGAAATGTTTAGCGTTCAGCTGCTAACCTAAAGGCCAGCAGTTCTGTAAGCAGTTTGCGTCTGTCAAGGTTACACCCTTGCAGAGCCTACGGGACAGTTCTACACCATTCTATAGGGCCTGCGAGGGGTTGGCATCAACTCTATAGCACTGGGCGTGGCAATCTAGTTTGCGCACTAAATGGTTTCCTCTTCTACGTCCCACCACATACCCCTACTAGCGCCTATCTTCTGTTCTTCCTTAGACACTCCCATTCTTATCTTTCTTAGGGTTCCACAGCACAATTATCTTTACCAGAGAATCCACTCTTACTGATGTCATTTTATTCACATTGTATAGAGGGATATACAGACTTCAGATCTTAGTTAAAAAAAATAGAAAAAAAGCACTACTGGAAAGAAATCACTAACGTCTGTCATCTTGATGGCAGGATCCCCCCCCACCCCACTCCTGCTACTTTTAAGTGGTTTCAAATTTCCTACCATAAGCCTTTATACTTTTTATAACACAAAAATCAAATGATACAGACCAACCATGATAATAATTGTTACATATGTTATATGCTAGTAAATTCTGAATAAGTTTTTTTTCCTTGAAAGATGTTCTAATAATGAAACAAAAAATTCACGGTCATCAAGTCACTTCTGACTCACAGCAACCCTATAGGGCAGAGTAGAACTGGCCCTGTGGGTTCCCAAGGGTATAAATCTTCGTGGGAGCAGAAAGCTTCACCTTGTCCTTTGGAGCAGAGCTGCCACCAGAGCTACTTCTGCTCTAATAGAAATCGTCTCTTCTGGCAGGGAGTGAAGTAAGATCGTCCATTTTTCTAACGAGCTTGAAATATTCTCTTTCTCTATATATGTATTCAATTAAAATTTTTTAAAAGCACAACTTTTAAAAACAGTGCTATTGCTAAATTACAGTGTATCCTCATGAGAAGTAGGGCATTAAGATTAGCTTAGCATGCTTTTTAAAAAAATATTTTTAAGACTTAAATCTCAAATATTACCAATGCTGTTTCGTGCGTTTGAGGATGCTTGAAATTCACCATTTCCAGAGAGAGATGTTTTTTAATCCGTGTGACATCAGCTTCCCGTGCAGCTTGCAGCAGTGAGTGGCCTTTAAATTCATCTAGATGAAGAAAAAGTGTTTACCTCTGCATCATAATTACCAAACTGATGAAGTCTTAATATAAAGCATTTAGCATTTCCTTTGATACTGGGAGGGTGGAGGGAGGGTGAATTGGAAAGGCGGAACTGATTACAAGGATCTACATGTGACCTCCTCCCTGGGGGACGGACAACAGAAAAGTGGGTGAAGGGAGATGTCAGACAGTGCAAGATATGACAAAATAATAATTTATAAATTATCAAGGGTTCATGAGGGAGGGGGGAGCGGGGAGGGAGGGGGAAAATGAGAAGCTGATGCCAGGGGCTTAGGTGGCGAGCAAATGTTTTCAGAATGATGAAGGCAATGAATGTACAAATGTGTTTTACACAATTGATGTATGTATGGATTGTGATGAGAGTTGTATGAGCCCCTAATAAAATGATTTAAAAAAAAAAAAAGGTTTCAGTCTGCGGATGCCTGGCTACCAAAAGTTATAGCATCTGGGGTCTTACCCAAGACTTGAAGATAAACAAGCAGCCATCTAGCTGAGAAGTAACAAAGCCCACATGGAATAAGCACACCAGCCTGTGTGATCATGAGTTGTCATTGGGATCAGGTTATCAGGCATCCAAGACCAAGAACAAAAAATCTTATCAATGTGAATGAGGGGGAGTGTGGAGTAGACACCAAAGTTCATCTGTAGACAACTGGACATCCCCTTACAGGGGTCACAAGAAAGAGACGAACCGGCCAGGGTGCAGTAGAGCACAGATGAAACATACAACTCTCCTCTAGTTCTTTAATGCTCCCCCACCCCCAATATCATGACCCCAATTCTACCTTACAAATCCAGCTAAACCAGAGCATGTAGTAGGGTACAGATAAGAGCTGGAAACACAGGGAATCCAGGATCAATACTGACAGTAGTCATACCAGGAGGAGAAGGGGAAGATGGGAGGAGAAAGGGGGAACTGATCACAATGATCTATATCTATATATCTATGTATATATAACCCCCTCCCAGAGAGATGGACAACAGAAAAAGTGGGTAAGGAGAGACATTGGTCAGCATTAAGACATGAAAAAAAGAATTTATAAAGTATCAAGGGTTCATGAGGAAGGGAAGGTAGGGAGAGGGAAAAATGAGCTGATACCAAGGGCTCAAGTAGAAAGCAAATGTTTTGAAAATGATGGCAACAAATGTACCAGTGTGCTTGACACAATGGATGTATGCAAGGATTGTGATAAGAGCTGTACAAGGCCCCAATAAAATGACTAAAAAAGGTTTCAGAAATCCTCACCTAGTCCACAATAAAAAGTTTAAAAAGAAAGGTGAAAGTTACACATTAAAAACAAAGTTCTGAAAAAATAGAATTAAAAGATAAAAATTTTCCATGTATTTTTTGAAGCCGCTTTGTACCTTACACACAATGCTGCATCATATAATTTGTTGATGCCATAAGTTTAAATAAAGTATTTCCAATCCCTCAAAGACAATTAAAGATTGAATTAATAACGATAACAAAAGGCATTAACAATAAAAATCCTAAGGAAAAAATAAAGGTATTTGAGGTATGTCATACTGAATTATGGCTGAGTTGTTGAAATGAAACCCCATCACATATTTACTTTATGGCAGACTCAAGGTCTACTCTAATTCATGATTAGTCTAGCGCCATGTGGAGTACTTCTACATAATTCCAGCCTAGATGAGAACTTTTCAAAGCAAAGAATATTTCTCGGTGAAGCAAAGAATGACTGATGACTTTTGCTCATACCTCTCAGAAAACTGAGGACGAGATAAACGGGCTATTTCAGAAACAGTCTGCTGATAAATAAGAGAATATTGTAACAAGATTCCCCCCTTTTGTTAAACCATTCACTATCCTTTATAATTACAGAAGAACACAACTCTAACAGAAGTTTCCTACTTATGTGTGATAATACTATATTTGAATTAGGTGGCTTTTACTTACGACACCTATTTTAGTTCAAGATAGGAAACCAGACCTTTGCTCAAGTACTGACAAGTATTAGATGCTAAGATCTAGGGACTATGTTTATAAGACAGTAATCCTACAAGTAAAACTACTTTCATGGCAGACCAGCTGGAGTGTCACCAACAAACATAGGAATAAAACACAAATGATTTCAAAGGCATTGCCATTTACAAAAGAAATACATGGGAAAAGCATGTAACTTAAAACACACACACACACACACACACACACACACACACAATTTCTTCCTAGAGCATCTTAAGAGCATCGTGAAATATGTAGAAACTTCCAAATTATAAAAGATGCAAGTCTGAATAAAAGCAGATACCCATCGCTAAGGAAAACATTGTACAATCTAAACATTTCTAAAAACTAAATAGGAAAATTCCTTCTCTTAGTTTAGTGCTATATCCTAGCTAAGCAGTCATCAATTTATACTTACATGCTAATCTTTCTTTTAATTGTGGCGTGGGAGCCAAATCTACAGCACTTTTATGATGGCAATTCAGCAGTGTTGGATCGGCACCGTAACTTAAGAGGAGGGAACACACTTCCACCCTGTTCTTGGAAGCTGCCTCATGAAGAGGAGTGAACTGCCACAAGTCCATTGCATTTACACAGGCACCGTGCTGGGGGTGAAAAAGCATATTATTTTAGAACACTCAATTTTAAAAAGAATTCTAAATCATTAGTACTGAGTAATATGACATCATGTATGCTTAGATAGAGATTATGCTCCCAATGTTCACTCTCTAAGCCAATTACTTCAGATTTTTTTCCGCCACAGAAAAAACAGTGGGTGGTTGCTAGGCCTGCCTACAAGGACTCATTTAACTCTTTTATTGTTAGGAATAAAAGCTTTGGAATAAAGCTTTATATTTAACCCGCAGTTTTTCTTTTACTGAAGTCCAATTTACATACGGTAAAATGTAGTTACGGATACAGTTTGATGAGTGTTGACAAGGGAGTGCCACCACCCTAGTCAAGATCTAGGGGGATTTTCATGAGCTTAGAAAGAAATAAAAGACAATTCCAGCCCAGATTCTAACTTTTAGCACTGAATATTTGATTTACTCGTTCTTGAATTGCATACAAATGGAATACAATATGTAACTCTGTGACTAGCTTCTTTCACACACACACTCTCTTGACATTCATATTGTGTGTTATCAGCAGTTTAAGGCTATCAACTTAAATACTTACTGGTCATCCATCCCAGTTTCATGTTAATCTGCACATTTTAGAAGTATTCCTTCGAATTATTTTTCAAGTCCGTATTAAAAACATACACCCAACTAAATCTGTAGAATCCCTCAGATGTTCCAACATTACCTTGCAAGCTGATAAAGAAACATCAATCAACACTTTCCAAACAGCTATCTAACCAGGACTCTGATGGACAGTTTTCTATCCACTATTGAGCCCAATCTGTCTCCTGGTTTCCTTGGACTTAGAGGCTATGAGAAAGAAGAAATTTAAGAGAATTTCTGACTACTGTTGTGCCTATTAGTGTTCCATCTTTTTATTGACAAGCAAACAATTAGTCTGTTGCTTTCCTTAGGATTCACTCTATTCTTCCCATATGTAATCAATCATTCAAGTTGTTGTTTTATAACAGCTTGTTGCTTCCATCAAGAATTTCAGGGTCTGATAAACACAGGAAACAAAATACCTAAGTGTGGCCCACTGGAAAATGCTCTCTTGGAACACACTGTCCTTATAACTTATCATGGTGTGTAACTCTGTTATTATCTATGTCTTTTTCTTTGGTCCCATCTTACTTGAATGCCTGGGACCATACCTTAATGTCTTCCATACTTAGCACAATGCTCTGATCATAAAAACCAAGAATATCTGATTTTTTAAAATGTATTTATTTATTTCATGTTAATTACTTCATCTACTAGCTAAGACTCTTAGCAAGGGCTGCCAAAAAACTCACACTGCCCAGAACTTCTGCCTAAATCATTAGAGGCCATTACAGAACCAACCTCTGCCTCTACTGGCTTTCTCCTCTCTTAAATTGGACTACTTTGATAATTGCCTGGGCACTCAGCTCAGTTCACCTCTTCTGTAGATACAGCCTCTAGCCTGTCTTCCATTCTTTAAATCTTAGATCTTGGGAAAACACAATTAATTGTCTGTGAATTCCAGTGCAATTTGTATGATGTTTCACTGTCATTCATAAGAATACTCAAATTGCTCTGCTTAATTCACGTTTCAGTCTTACAATATGCAAAAGCATCACTGCTACAAATATGGTCACATGATAAATCAAAAGATGGCCCGTGGGCTTTATTTACTTGTTATTTATAAAGCTGTTTCCAAGTAAATGCATTCAGACGACCAAAAGGAAACATAAAGGTGAGTGTCTTCTTTCCTAGCGTCTTAGTTGTTAGGAACAAGGAAAAACAGATGGAAGTCTTGGCACAAGAAGTCGCCAAAAATGTGGGCTAATATGTAGGTAGAGGTGAGGGGCAGAAGGAAAGGTCATATGTAATATTCTTGGGTCTACTCTCACAGCAAATATGCATCTTTTATTCTCAGGTAGTACTGAAGGTTAGGCATTAGTTTGCTAACCACACGTTCAGCAGTTCAAACCTTTCAGCCACCCCAGTGAAGAAAGATGAGACTATCTGGTAAAAATTTACAGTCTAGGAAACCCTAGGTGGGGTCGCTATTGAGTCGTGATCCACTCAATGGCAGTGAGTTTAGCTTTTTAAAACAAAACGGGGTCAAAATGAGAAGCTTCTGGATGCATAGCACATTTCAATCAGTGAAGCTTACACCAAGTGAGCCTGCTTAAATCTAAAGGAAAACTGGGAAAATTTGTAAGTCTAATGGTGTCTATTATAATGTATGATATTCTACAAATTGATTATTGGTATTACTTCTTGAGAAGTTTTGAAAACACATTTAGCCACAAATTATAGAATCACTAAATTTGCTATCCCCAAGATAACAATGTTACTTTCTATTTAATATCTTATGTATCTCAGAAATCTTAAAAGTAGTCAGATGCTGCCCTATCAGGCTATTAATTGCCTACATTATAAAAGAATGTATTCTTCTCACACAACCAAATACAAAAACGCAGAAAAGTATAAATACACACACTTTTACTTTACATAATTCTAGGAAATAATTAGAAAGGTACAAGAGAAATTACCTTGACCAGAAGTTCAGTTACTTCATAATGACCATAAGAACAGGCATTGTGTAATGGCACCAGATCACTGCAATATGAGAAGGGGAGGAAAAAAATCTGTGTGACTTCAAAATGCTTAGGCATACAATAATTGACATGGACAATTTTATTTAAATTTACCCTTAAATTTACCCAAATGGCTATGTGATCTTCCCATAAACTATCTCCTTTCTTCTCCACTGCGACTGTCGCTGTGTCAGCTGGGTCTACTTATTTCCCCCCTTCCTACTGAAAATAGGCTCCACTTGAATATCCTCCAAGCTGTAGTAATATTTCCCTAAAACATTAACGTCCTTGCCTTAAAATCCTTTAGTGGTTCTTCTACATTTTGCAGAACCTACTCCAATTTCTTAGTACGGCATATACTAAGATGAATAATCTGACCCTCTCTAATCTCACCTTCATTAATTATATGCAAAATGACTTGCAGTTTCTTGAATGCCTCTATATATACACTGCTCTTGGGGTATAGGATAGGTGTGCCTGCCTCCCTTTCATCCTAGAATCAGAGCTAAAACACTAGTTCTTTAGGAAAAGAAAGAAAAAAAAAAGGTAAGAGAGCCTGTAAGGTAAATTGCTACATTCCTTAATAAACTGAAACCCAATTCATTCACACTATCAATGGAAGAACTTCTCATGTGGGAAGTACAGAAGGATCTTAACTTTCTTACTTTTGCCCTTAAGCTTCTCCCTACCTTCGGGAATCTCTCACCAACTACTAGGCCACCACCATGACAACATCCACAGTTTCACCTAATTCGAAATCATCTCTCTTTCTCACGTCACAGGATTCCTTACTTTCTTCTGAACATCAATTTCACCCCCAACTATCTATTAGAATTTCCATTTGAATTCCTATAATCTCATAAAACCAAGAGTTTGAAAAGTGAACTGAACATGTTTCCCACTAAATAATTTTCCTTCCTGGAGTTTCGTGTATGTTATCATTGGTTCTCATTCTTTCAGGTTCAGGGTTTGAAATGCAGTGTGACCACATCTCACTTGTCCACATAGTCAAATCCTAAGAACTAGGTCTTTACATGAAAAATTAGTGTTATGCAAAATGGAGTATGCTCACATCATATCACAAAATAGACGACTATTTCATTCAGTCACTGTCAAATCACTGGGAATTACGGTGCATCCAACCTGATGTATAGCCTCAAACAGCAGAGTCAGCATTACTCTTGCCCAACGCCTCAATAATCATTATTGCCAGATATATATTGTGGCGGCACAAAATGGTCAGATAGATTTTTAACTATTGTTTTAACTGTAGAATGTCATATAATGAAATTGTTGATAAGTTAGGAGTGGGTATAGTTAGTTATCTTTTTATTACTTTCTCTTGCATCACATCCAGACATTTAACATATTGTATACACTCTTTGTAACACCTCTTGCATCCATATCTTGTATTTCCATATGCCATTTCTACTGATGGCACCTCTTCTGCCATCACCATAGAACCTCATTACAACTGCATTTCTAGTATACTTGCTCCCCTAATTGCTCTTTTTTGCCTCCCTCTCCAGTTTACCCATTGCTGTGATGTTTCTCTTAAAACTCCTTTTTAGCATACAACTGTCACTCATCTGAGGATGAACTGGTTCCATAATCCATGATTTGAACACCCCAATTCACAGATGCTCAAAACCCCCTTAGGAACATTCTCTTATTTACTTTAGATCACCTCTATATACTGATACGTAAGAAAATGCATGACAGATAGTGTAAGTACTACGTAAATAGCACTTTATGTTCCCTTAGCCTTTGAGGGATTGCTTTGACTACTTAATTGCCTGTTCCTCTCACCCACCAAATATTTTCAATGCAGTTAAACCCATGAATGCAAAATTCACAGATACTGTGAATCATTCCAATGATGCCCAGGTCCAACTGGGCATCATTCCTAGGGCTTAAGATCAGGGGTCCTCAAACTTTTTAAACAGGGGGCCAGATCACTGTCCCTCAGACCATTGGAAGGCCTAACTTTAGTTCAAAAAAACAAAAAACTATGAGCAAATTCCTATGCACACTGAACATATCTTATTTTGAAGTAAAAAGCAAAACGGGGCAAAAACACCTGGCGGGCTGGATAAATGTCCTTGGCGGGCCGCCTGTGGCCCGAGGGCTGTAGTTTGAGGACCCCTGCTTATGATCTTTCAGACAATCCTGACTCACACAGTATAGTTGGAATTCAGTAGGCTGTTTCTCACCAACAGTCCAGTCCCACCCTTCATTCCTCCCCTATGTGAACCACCCGTGCCAGCATCAATGACATGAAATGTGTCATACATATTTGTTTCATGTCACTGCTTTAGCCAGTCTCCGAAACTTGCTGTACATGTGCTTTAGCCTTCCCTCTTTCAGAAATGATGCTCCCCAAACCCATGGCTTTTTTCAATTGAGGTCTGTCTTTAAGGTCAAGTTTTAAAATCTCCTGAAGGCTTTCCCAGCCACCACTGCCAATGTCCTCATTACTCATCATTGGGGACTTTGCAGAGGCCTCTCCTTACACCATCAATCATCTTCTCAAGCCTCCTAAATTGGAGGATAAGTAAGCTCTTTAATAGGTGGGTTTAAGGTTTTATAATTCCCTGAACCTCCAGAGCAATGTACATATTAAAATAAGCACAACAAATGTTAAGTTTATGCCATTTGGTAAAAAAAGAAAAAAGAAAGATGGAATTATTTTTCTGATGTCACAAAGATATTTATGGGGAAATACCATTTTTGAAGTCCTTAGTTTTGTTCAAATGCTCACCCTTTATCTTTAGCATGAACATCAGCTCCGTGCTGCAGCAGCAGCTGTACGATCTTTACTCTGTTGTACCCTGCTGCCAAATGCAGTGGAGTTGACTGAAATGTTAAATGAGTTAAATTAATTAAATTGTAGTGCTTTTAAAAATGTGTATAAAAAGTAAAATCCTAGATATAAAACCAGACAATTCAGGAGAATAAACCCAACACTTTAAACTTTATTGGTAACTAAACAGTTATAATAGAGTTAATGGGGGAGAGACAACGCAGAAAAGGAGAAAGAATTGTTGCAAAGCCCAAAGAATCCGATTCATGACACTGAACTGCACAGGCAGAAACAAACTGGTTTTACGCTGTGCTGTGTATATTCCCAACAGCAATTAGGAGTTATCAATTTTATATATAAACCCCACATTATTAAAGGCATAGTATACAAGTTTATAAATTCATTTTGTACATAACACACAGTAACTAAAGGTGATCAAAAGTTTTAATGAAACGTTAAGATTTCTTAATTACTGCTTAAGACAGTGGTTCTCAACCTTCCTAATGCCGTGACCCTTTAATACAGTTCCTCGTGTTGTGGTGACCACCCCCAACCATAAAATTATGTTCATCGCTACTCCATAACTGTAATTTTGCTGCTGTTGTGAATCGGGAGACCCCTGTGAAAGGGTCGACCCCAAAGGGGTCGTGACCCACGGGCTTCAGAGAAAACATTAGCGTTCTCTTCAACTATGCTTTTATATAAGGTAAAAGCATCTTCCTGGTACTAGACGATGAACATAAACACACTGATAAAGGAAGTACCTTTCTGCCATCACTTGCATGGCAGTTGACATTTAATGGTGTAAGTAAAGCCATCATTTTTTCTTCATTGCCACTCCTAGGATACACAAAAAAATGACTCTAATTGGTTTCTTTAAAACAAACAAACAACCAACCCTTGTTTTTGTGCACTGGGCAAAGGTTCACAGAGCAAGTCAAGTTTCCATTCAACAATTCACACACATTTGTTCCATGTCATTGACTGCGATCTCTCAATGTAACATCACTGTATCCCATTTCCCCACTGTGTTTGTTACCCTTTTCCACTTCTCCTCCTTTCCTAACCTAGCCCCTCTGAACTTGGTGGGCAAATGCTGCTCTTTGGATGTCAAGTGGCTGATTATTCTGAAGAGTGCTACTTCCCCACTGTTCCAGTTCCCATCTATTGTTTGGCTGGAAACTGAGGTGGGGGAAGAACTCAGTCACCACCCTTCAAGCTAAGGGTCACAAGCAATTGGTATTTTTAACCAGATCTTACCTGGAGACATATGAGGTAAAAAACAAAAGAAATAGCAATTAAAAAAAAAGTTTACTGTGAAGAAAAAACTTAAGTAGTGAAGTATCCATGGTACATATTTATGAGTACACACCTGGCACTTTCCAAGAGTTCATCTTTTTTATATTCACCTGTGAAGTGGGAGGGGAAGGGGAGCAAAAAAAAAAGTATAAAAGTTATCTTAATTTTATACACTAAGATATTTAGTGAGCTATAGTAAAGGTAGACAAATTTCGAAATAGGTTCCAATAAATGGAAAATGGTAACTTAAGAGTATCTTATAGCTTAAAATACTTATAATACTTTTACTTTTATAAGAGAAAAAACGATGACTCAATGTTATATAATGAAGGATGACCATACAACTGTACAAAAAATAGTATGCATAGAAAAGAAAAGCTCAGAAGAAAATAGAGATTCTGGTCAGCTTTTCCTTTTATTTTTTTTCTTCCTCAAAATTCCTAAAGTGATTGATATTACTGGAACAAAAAGAGCAAAACAAACAGCCCAATAAACATTACAGAAAAGACAATCTCAAGTATCAACTGAACATAGTCATTAACACTGCTATGACCACATTTTTAAAAATGAAGTTTGTTTTCTTACAATGCTACTTAAAATATACAAATATATATTTCTTAAAGATTAAATTTTTAAAAAAGGATTAAATTCTTTGTTTACAGTATCTTTTTCAGGGTCATTGATTTTATTGATGTTAAAAACTGTACATGGACAGGGACTGCTCTGCCAAGAAAGGAACCAAATGCCATAAAATCAGGCAGAACTCAGGCAAAAAATTCCAAAGACGTTGAAATGGGAGGCGAGTACTCCCCCAAAGATCCCGGAGTACACTGCATCACAAGAAGTTATCTATCTACCACTCTCAAAAGCTTCTTGCCCAAGATTTCACTAATCTTGTGATTTATCCCCTAGGGCTTTGGCCATAAAGTCTCAGTACTTTTAAATCAGGCTTAATCCATAATGCCTCCTCCTGCCACCTAGTTTATAGCTTTTACAAATGAAGGTAAAACCAAACAAACAAAAATCAACAAAATTTTAAATTGACATGCTTTAGCTTAATGGAGAATATTTATTGCTTTGCTGAAACCAAATCCAAACAGCTGCCTACAATGAGAATTGCATACAAATTGTCAGGGCAAGGCTTCCTTTGAGCCCTAAGATTTGTTTAAAAAGATGAAACCATGGAATCGTGAAGAAAGAAATGGGCACCAAACTGAGATATATAGTAGTTCACATTTCTTGGAGTCTTTTACGAGACTGAAGAAACATCATAAAGCATAAGCACAAAAGCTCCTAAGAGGCTCTCGGCCTTTTAGATTAGACATGATTGTGAGGGTCACCACACAGGACATAGGAGCCAGCAAAACTAGAAGTTACTTAGTAGGAAGCTCGCTGAAAGGAGAGAAACTAGAAACAAGCACAACTCAGGAAAGCTTGCGATTCTAAATAAATATATCAATAGGTTATAAGGACATGACAATGTCATAGCCAAGTACAATTGGCACACTCCAACCTCTTAAAAAAAAAAAGGCTAATTGTTTTTGAAAGCATCCCGTCAAACATGATAAAACATATTTATAAAAAGAACAGTAAGCATAAATTATCTGAATATTTCAAGTGTATAAAATTATTTGAAATATGATAATAACATAATTATCTACATCACTCTGCTCCTAAGGCAATAGCAACAAAATGAAAAACCAACATAAACCGTGAAAACAGCATTGTTTCTTAGACAAGGATTGAATGTCAACTGTTCATATGTAGAAAAAAGCAACTGAACTGACACTATTTAAAAATTTTAGTTGAGGTCATTAACTGCAGAAGGCAGACTGTCTACCTAACAGCTTGTTCTTTATATTCGTCCTGGAATAACCACAGTGAGTACACAGACTTACTTACCCGTCAACACTGCTTTGGCAGACGAATCCGCTAAATCCAAGGCTGTCCTTCCATCTGTATTTCGAATGGTTGGCTCCGCTCCATGCTGTAAGAGTACTGCAAAACAGCAATGCTACCTTTCAAAACGGTGATTATGACAATTTTTGTACCTCACTTTCCTGGATATGTTGATCCAGAAGAAGTCTCAAACTTACTTAAAATACTTCATAACCTGATAATATGGTGCTATATTTGAAAGACAACCATATTTGAGATACTCTATTTGTACGCACTGAGTAAAATCAGTTGCTGCTACGTTGATTCTGACCCTAAAGATCTGAGCACTGCTCCTTAGGGTTTCCAAGGTGGTAATGGTGACGGAAGCCAACTACCATGTATTTCTCATACAGAGCGGATGCTAAGTTTGGTTAGCAGTCAAGCACTACCAGGCCTCCTATACAGAACATTAAGTTTTCTCTTCAGTTGAAGAGTGTCAGATCTTTATTTGCTACCTATAAGCTGGTGACCGGCGAGTAAGAACAAAAAGATGTATACGGTAAGTTTGCATTGAATACATTTTCTCATTCGACCTAATTTCCAAAAGAACACTGTATGTTAGAAAACTGTTCTATCATAATAAGGAAATGACAGTGTGTGTGTTTTTTTAATTATCTACTGGGAGCTTTTACACTCTTATTACAATCCATAAATATATCCATTGTGTCAAGCACATTTGTACATATGCTGCCATCATCATTCTCAAAAATTTTTCTTTCTACTTGAGCCCTTGGTATCAGCTCATTTTTTTCCCTCCCTCCCTCATGAACCCTTGATAATTTATA